CAATGCTGCCGTGAGGCTACCCAGCTGTGCCCATCGTGGCAGACGGTGCAGCACAAGAAGCAACCAGTTTGTTACTGCATTTTGTATTGCAGGGATGCCGTGCAAGCCCGGCCGGGGCCGTGCATCCCACCTGCGGCCAGCGTGCACGTGGGGGCCAGGAAATCCTCCCAAAACATCCCAACCTTGTTGCAATTGCAGGCAGTGAGCAGCCTGGAGGGCACGTGCCGGGGAGAGGTGTCAGGGTTTGGGCTGGAAGCGGCCAGCTCTCTGCAGGTCCCTTCCCGGGCGGTGCTGAGGTCCCTGCTCCGTTCCCCGTCCCTACCCTTGCTGGCTCACCTCCATGATGTCCTTAATTACGGGGGTCCATCGGGAGAGCTGGTAGGTCTGCTCGCTGATCCGCTCCTTCCGCTCCGGCTTGCTCCGGCGGCGCAGGGTGGACTGGGCAGAAAAGAGCACAGAGACACCCTGAGACACGGTGGCTCCGGCGGTGGGATCGGGGCCACCCCAGAGGGGTGCTGGGGGCATCCCAAGGGGTACATGGTTCCCATAGCAGCGTGGGTGCCATGGTCCTCCCAAGGGGCGAGGAGGGCTGCGGGGAGCAGGAGGTGGACACTCACGTCTGTGATGATGGGCACCCCGAGGTGGGCCATGTTGGTGATGATCTCGCTGTCCTCTGCCGGGATCTGAGCGTGCTGGATCAGCTTGTTCAGGTTTTCCTCGGTGATACCTGGAAATGCAACGGGGAGATGGTGTCCTGAGAAATGCCTCCCGGTGGGGGGACAGCCCCTCCGTTGTCACCTTAGGACACCTGGCTTGGTGGTGGTCGGGGAGACAGGGCTGAACTTCTCCATCTGGCTTATCTTGGCCGAACCCTGAGCTGTTTGCCAGCCGGAGCTGCCTGCACGTCTTGCCCACCCCTGCCCAGGTGTCCTCCTTACCGTTCTTCAGGAAGATGTAGAGCAAGATGATGCGGATCTTGTCATAGGTGCTGACGTTCCCATCCAGCAGGATGGGGACAATGGCCCTCATGGGGTCCTTGATCTTCTCGCCTTCAGCATCAGTGCCCATGGCCAAATCCTGCAGAGAACACACGTACTCATCACCCCACAGCTCAGTGCTGAGCTGTGGGGCAGGAGCTGCCGGCCCCAGTTGTCCCCGTGGGGATGTGGGGCTGGGGGAGCTGGTACCTGTTCGACTCTGCAGAGCTTGTCCACCGTGCCCTGGTAGTGCTTCATGCAGTCCTCAGCCAGGTGCAGGTGGGTCGAGTACTGGGGAGACACAAGTGGTGCGGTCACCACTGCGGTGCTGGCAGCAGCCGAAGGTCCCCCCGTGCCACCACCGCGGCCTCAGCCCCTGCCCACAGCCGGGGACCCTCTGGGGAGAGCTGCCATCGCCCACTCCCTGGGTGGGCTCAGTGCCAGCCGCTCTGCACAGACATCTCCCCCCCTGCCTCCTCGTACCTTGCTGAGCTCCTTCTGGTACTGCGGCATCTTCTTCAGCATCTGGGACAGGTCTCTCATGGTGGTCTGCGAGGGAAGGGGACACGGTCACTCACCCTCTGGGACTTGGGGACCATGAGCAGAGAGGGGATGACCCTGCCAAGGACTCCTGTCCCCATGCGAGCCCCTCGCGGGGGTTTGGTGACGCCTGCTGTGGCATTGCTGGGTCTCCTCCGCTGCAGCTGAGGGGCATGGAAGGGGTCTGCAGCTCTGCAAACTGGAGGGGTGGGGGGAGAAATCCCCCCCCAGGACCTTCCTCTGGGACCCCCGTGCGCTTGGCTGAGGCTGAGATGGTGCTTTCAGCTTCGGGCCACTTCTACATCCTATTTCCACTGGGGTCCCCTCACTGTCACCAACTCGGGGTCTCCACAAGGGAACCAGCCGGGGACAGAGGCAGCTGCTGTGGGATGGGCACGGACCCCGTGCCGGGGGCAAACCAACCCTCGCGGCACGGTGCTCTCCCAAGGCACCCCGTTTCCCCAGCCCCAGGCGTAGGGATGGCACCCCCCACCCCCGCCAGGGACCTGAGCACCCTTGGTGCTTTGCAGAGGTCCCTATCAGGCATCCCCCAGGAGACTCCACCATGTGCTAGCCATGGCAGAGCCCCCCGGGTGCCTGTCCCCAGCTCGGCGGGCGCAGTCAGGTCACCTTATCGCCTGTGTTCATCCTCTTGCTTGAAGAAAACTCCTTCAGGGACCGGGTCACCTCCCTGGGGAGAGGAGGAGGGCACAGCTGTCAGCAGGGAGGGGAGCCCAGCAGCAGGGTGGGT